TCTTGATTTCCAGAGTCTATGGTAATATAATAAAAACCATTTCTCTTGATTTAGTTTTCTTTTTTAATTGAAAAATTATTAATTGATTGAGTTTAATTAAAAAGGGGAACTTTTAGTTTTTAGTTTGAATAAGAAAAAAATGGAAAAGAAAATAGAAAGAAAAGAGTAAGTAAGATAGTTAGAAGAATAAATTGGAAAAAATGAGATTTAATGGGCTATTCTTAGTTGTTGGCCATTATCGGATTTGTAGAAGGAAGGAGAAGGAAGTGAAAAAAAGTTATGAAAAAAAGATTTTACTCAATGTGCTTGGCATGATGGCAATTTTTTTTTCATATATTGTAAAAACTTTCATGAGTATGGAGGAGATTCAAATGAGTGGTGTCTTGGTGAGTAAATTAGGAGATGAAAAGAGATAAAACTTAAGGAGATGGTGATAAATGGTGGGTTGGTGTCATGACTTTGAGAGAAAAAGGAAAGGAAGGTTAGATCTAATAACATTAAAGGTAATGCTAACAGAGCAAAACACAAAGGGATTAAGTGTCACTCTTTAAATATCAAAAGTCAAATTTATTCGGCCTCTAATCGTAACGTATTTATATATAATTGACCCTATTATTTATTAAACTAACTGGCACTTTTAAATGTTATATGCCATGTAATAAATTGGACATATATACTTGCTTAAATTCTAGACAAGAAATTGAAATAAATAAATTGAGAACAACTTAAATAAAGTGTCATTGAATATGAATTTAGTTTAGTTTGTTTATATTGTCATTTTAAAAAAATGACATAATATTTCTAAAATTTGAATTTTAGCACTTGTAATATTTTTTTTATCTCAAATTATAATTTTTTACCAAACAAAAATAAGACTTAATAAGAAAAAATAAAATAAAAGAAAAAAGCCATTTTATGAGGATTGGCTATTATGCTTATGAACCTCAAGTGATACAATCGACCACCCAAACAAAACAAAAGAAATAGCTTCATAAGTGGAGGGCATTTTATTGATTCACAAGACACCAACAATCAAAAGTATTACTTGATTGAGTGAAATGTCAAAAATAAAGATAAAAAGCCTTTGGACAATACCAGTAAAATATAAGAATATATGCATGTATTTTTGTAATTTTGTAATTTTGTATATTATAATATATAAAAAAAGTCAAAGTTAAACACAGAGAGTTTACCGTAACCACTTGAGAAGAAAAAATAAATGCTCATGTAACTTTCACTTTGTAATATAGAAAGAAAAAAAAAAAAGGAATACATAAAAGTGGAGAATAATGACAAAAAAATCAAATTAATGTTAAGGAAGATGTTAAGGAATCATTTATAAATTATGAAGAGATTAAATTTGATCTTTTTAAATAATAAAAGATTATCATGAAATCTATTAAGATAAAACTACATTTGATATTTTTAAAATTTAAAACATATATATATCTAAATTATCAAAAAATTCACTTTAAAAATTCATTTTAAAAAAATTAATTTTAAAAGATAAAATTACATTAATCTATAAGTGTGCATATTTATCATGAAATTTTGATGAATGTTTTAAAAATAAATTATTTAATTTTTATGTTTGCTTTGACCTTAAGGTCATTTCTGTTTCTAGTCCAATAATTTCTATATTATGTTCATCTAATTTCCTTTTGTTTTCGTGACTCAATAAGAGCTCATGTATACTCTTAAAAGCTCATTTATACACTTTGGCTTAGATTAATAATAATAATAAAAATCTTTAATTAAATCTCATCTTGTGCAACTATAATTCAACTTAATTTATATTGCTTTTATTTGATTGGTTTATCTATTGCTAATTTTTACTGTGATTATATACTATGTTAAAAATATTTGACTATATTTATAAGTTTTACTTGTTATACAATCTTTAAGATATACCTAAAGGTATATTTGATAAATAAAGATGATTTTTTTCGGTAGAAAGAAAAACTTTGAATAATTAAAAAATTTTCAAATAAATATATCTTAAAAAGATTTGGACAACGAATGATTTTTTAAATATATTTATTTAATTCATAAATAAAAAATAAATTTACTTATTTAAATAAAATCTTACAAAAATAATAATTTTATCTATTTAATCATTTTATATCTAAATTGATTTTTCATTTAAATTTTGAAAATTTTAGATAATTTAATTATTTTTGAAATATAGTTTTTGATAAATCGTCTAAAATTATTAAATATCTTATGTGTCATTAGAAAAAGAAGTTTTAAGAATTTTTTTATTGTTGGGCTTGGTTTCCTCCATGTGAAGGTGGTTTAAAACTAAAACCCATTCACCAAGGATTTTTTAATCCTTTCATGCTTGGTTATAAGGTTTTAAACCCTTATATGACTGAAAAAAGAAACAAGAGAGTTTGGCTGCAAAATAAAAAAAAAAAAAAGGAAAGAAAAATGGGCTTTGTGCAGTTCTGGTCAAGTAGTTTCATGGAGATCAATTCGTTTTTTAATTGAGCTAAAGTTTTATCAGTGTGTTCATGACTCATTGTTTTTAAGTTTCAACAGTGAATATTGGGTTTCAAGTTTTTTATCTACTAATTTCATGGGTATTTGTTAATTCTTAAATTTATTGAGATTTTTCTAATTTTCTCTTGTAAAATTATTTCTTTACCAAGATTATTTAATCTTGAGATATTATAGTTGTATACCTTTAGTTGTAGTTAGAGAGAACTTTGTATTCTTATTATTTTGATAAGAAAGATTATTTGTTGTTGCTCACGATTTTTACTCCTTATTTTTGGAGAGATTTTTCACGTAAATTGCTTGTGTTATTGTGTTTGTGGTTTTATGATTTATTTACTAGCTCTATTTGTTTGATTCCTATTAAATTCACACAAAAGATGAATAATTTAATTTTTTCGCTGCGTAATATATTCAGTTTGAATATTATTTGAGGTTATTTTATTTCATCACTTATGTATAGAAAAGAAAAATTATCCACATATACATCCACATTAACAAATCTTATTTAGCAATTATATATGTTATAATATAATATATGATTTATTTTTTATTTTTAAATTTTTTTATTACATAAAATTTGTAAAAAAAGTCAACGAAAGTATGAATGATTAAATAATTCATATTCAATTGATTTAAGTTCACACTGATCCAACATAAATGTAATTTTTTTTTAAAAATCGAGATCGGATTCATTTTTTTTTAAAATGAAGTTGGATTGGAGATGAATTTAAGTGTTCTACCATTGTCTTAAGTGTCCATGCGACACCTTCCTTCTTTACTTTTCTTTTTTTTTTTTTTTGTATTTTAAAGCTTTTTCTTTTTTGGTTTTTTGTCTTCTTTTGAAATTTTTTATTTTTGTTTTTATTACATAAATTTTATAATAAAAAGTAAATTGAGATAGAGATATTAAAATAATTTATATTCGATAGATTTTGATTCGTTTTAATTCAATTGATATGTTTTCTTTTAATTGAGGATAATAAGGTTGAGTTTTTTAAATCGAGTTTTGTTCAGAACAAGGTTTTGAGTGTTATGCTACAATTTTGGTATATATAAATATATATATTGTTTATTTAATTTTATATTTATATATTATTAAAATATATTATAATTTAATAAATTCACATGTCACACTATTTAGCTTTTATAATTTTTTATATTTTTAAAAATTTTATTTATTAGATAAGTTTTGTAAAAAAAAAAAAAGATTTAGGAATAATATAACAATTTATATCCGATAAGTTTTGATTTGTCACGATGTAATAGACACAATTTTTTAAAAAAATAAATTGAGTTAAATTTTATCTTTTTGAATAACTTGAATATTGGATTTGAAACGTTTTGCTTCCGCGTTCCTCAAGATATATAACAAAAATATTTTATTATTTATTTAATTTAAATATATATTATGTTAATAAATATATTATTTAATATTTTAATTTAATAAAAAATTATATTTATATATAACTAAATTATATTTTATATTAAAAATACACTTATATATTATTAAAAATACACATATATTTCTTTATTGAAAATATAATTAAAAAAATTATCTCAAACAAAATACGGATCTGGCGACAAAATACGTATCTAATTCCAGTGGAATATAAAAGAGAGAAGCATTTTCGACGGGAAAAAAGGGAAGGGAACATTTTCCAGGTGCGACTTGATCGAGGGATGCACGCTAATGTGCTTATGTCTGTCAACAGTCGTATGTAATCCGGCCCTACAACTTGTAATGTGGCCGAGTGACAAGTTTTGTCCCCCTGTGAGTGACTCACTTCCTCCAAACAGCACCTGGAGTTCTTTTGGTTGCTCTTTATAATTTTAGAAAATTAAAGAAAAATCATCATTACTAGTTTTGTGCTACTAATAAATTTCCCGTAGCGTTAGTCACTGTCCTAGACTCATAGCAATAGGATGCATTCGAAAGCACTTTTTTTTTTACAACAAAAAGTTAATACTAGGGTTTAATCATTTATAAAATTGGTATTCGAAATTAAATTTTTTTATATAAAAAGATGACAATCTAAATATAATAAAAATAATAGTAAATATTAAAATTTAAAATTATTAAATATTTTTTTAAAAAATAATTATATAAATTAGTGTGTTAAATTATGAATTTTTTGAAATTAAAATTGGAAAATTACAAAAGATAATAAAAAATATTCTTTAATGTCAGACAAAAAAAAAAGGTATATCTTTATCAATAATTCAGTTTTTTTTTTATTAATAGTAATTCTTGCTGGGGGGAAGACAAAGTTCTTGAATGAACAATTTTTATATAGTTACATTAACTTACAATATTTAAGATTTGAATTTGACATAATTGTGACATCTTTAATTCTATTTTAATCTAATCAATGAATAGTTTGACATCACAACTATAATAATAGCCCCTCCCCCACTTCTTTTTCCCTATTATTCCTTTATTTATTTATTTATTTTTTTCTCTCGTCTCCCTTTCTCCTTCATTTATACCACTCCCTTGCCTTCTTCTATATCCGCATTCTCCGCCCTTTTTCAAACCTTTACATACTTTCCTTGTCACTTGTCACTCTCTCTTTCAAGCTATTTCGTCGGTCTTCACCATGAGTATAAAATAAACAAAAAACCATTTTTTTTCCTAGAAGCAAACACAGCCTTAAAACTAAAAATGGCTTCAACAAACTCTCTACCGCCAACAGACCCGTTTTATTCCACGGAAGACCTAGCTGCCAAAGCCCTGAACAAGCGATACGAGGGACTCATCACGGTTCGAACCAAGGCCACCAAGGGCAAAGGAGCCTGGTACTGGGCCCACCTGGAACCAATTCTCGTTCGAAACCCGGACACCAACCTCCCCAAAGCCGTTAAACTCAAGTGTTCATTGTGCGACGCTGTCTTCTCCGCCTCCAACCCTTCCAGAACGGCTTCCGAGCACTTAAAACGCGGCACTTGCCCCAATTTTAGCGCCGTTCTGAGACCCAATTCCTCGCTCTCTCCTTTACCTATATCATTGGCTTCCCCTTCTGTTTCTTATCATCATAATCATCGAAAGCGAAGTCCCTCAACTGCTATCTTCTCTCCTTTACAAAACCAAGTAAGTCACAACAACAACAACAATAATAATAATAATAATAACAACAACAACTCGTTGGCTATAGTTGAGTCGACTCGTTTTCTGGGTTACTCGAGCCATAGTAATAAAAATAATGCTGGGTTGACTCAGCAGCATTTGGTTTTATCTGGTGGGAAAGAAGATTTAGATGCCTTAGCAATGTTGGAAGATAGTGTTAAGAAGCTTAAGAGTCCTAAAACTTCTCCAGGTCCAGCTTTAAGCAATGGCCAAATAAATTCTGCATTCGATTTGTTAGCCGATTGGTTCTATGAGTGTTGTGGGTCGGTTTCCTTTTCTAGCCTCGAGCACCCAAATTTTCGGGCTTTCCTTAATCAGGTTGGGATGCCTGCTGTTTCAAGGAGGGGCCTCTCGGGTGAGCGGCTTGATAATAGGTTTCATGAGGCCAAGAGGGAATCCGAGGCTAGACTTAGGGATGCAATGTTCTTCCAGGTGGCTTCTGATGGGTGGGAGAGAAAAAGTTGTTGTTGTTGTTGTTGTTGCAGTAGTTATAGTAGCAGTAGTAGTAACAGTTCATGTTCTATGGAAAATTTGGTTAAATTTAGTGTTAATCTTCCGAATGGGAGCAGCTTGTACCAGAAGGCAGTCGTTACTGGTGGATCAGTGACTTCCAAGTACGCGGAGGAGGTTATGTGGGAGACAGTAACGGGGATTTGTGAAAGTAATGTGCAGAAGTGCGTCGGACTAGTTTCAGATAAGTATAAGGCCAAGGCATTGAGAAATTTGGAGATTCAGAATCATTGGATGGTAAATCTATCTTGTCAGCTGCAAGGCTTTGTTAGTTTGATAAAGGATTTTAGCAAAGAGCTTCTCCTTTTCAGGACTGTCACTGAGAATTCCTTTAAGCTTGCGAATTTTGTAAATAATAACTCGCAAGTTAGAAGCAGCTTTCAAAAGTATAGGATGCAGGAGCTTGAGTGTGCTGGGTTGATACGGGTTCCTTCCAGCAAATGTGATTGCAGCAGTAACATTGCACATGTTTTTGCAATTTTGGAGGACATACTGAGCTGTTCCCAAGTGCTTCAGATGGTTGTATTGGACGATTCTTACAAGGCGATCTGTGTTGAGGATCCAGTTGCCAGGGAAGTTGCTGGGTTTGTCCAAAATGAGGGGTTTTGGAATGATTTGGAGGCAGTTTATTCACTGGTGAAGTTGATCAGAGGTATGGCTCATGAAATTGAGGTGGATAGGCCATTGATTGGGCAGTGCCTCCCTCTCTGGGAGGAGTTGAGGGTAAAAGTGAAGGAATGGTGCACCAAGTTCCACCTTGCTGAAGCACCTGTTGAGAAAATTGTCGAAAAGAGATTTAGAAAGAATTACCACCCTGCATGGTCGGCTGCTTTTATACTTGATCCGGTTTACTTGACGCGGGACACCAGCGGAAAATACCTTCCACCATTCAAGTGTCTGACTCAAGAGCAGGAGAAGGATGTTGATAAGCTCATAACTCGTTTGGTTACCAGGGAAGAAGCACATGTTGCACTGATGGAGCTCATGAAATGGAGATCAGAAGGGTTAGAGCCACTCTATGCCCAAGCTGTTCAGGTTAAACAGCGAGACCCTGTGACTGGAAAAATGAAAATTGCTAACCCCCAGAGCAGTAGGCTAGTATGGGAAACTTGTCTTAGCGAATACAAGTCATTAGGAAAGGTTGCAGTGAGGCTTATCTTCCTACATGCAACATCATGCGGGTTTAAATGTAACTGGTCTATGATGAAGTGGATATGTGTCCACAGACACTCACGGATAGCCCTTGAAAGGGCTCAGAAGATGATATTCATTGCTGCTCATTCAAAGCTTGGCAGGAGGGATTTCTCCGATGAGGAAGAAAAGGATGCAGAGCTGTTTATGATCGGCAGTGAGGATGACATCATCAATGAAGTCTTTGCAGATGCACCATAAGTGTAATGCTTTTCTTTCACCACCTGCTGAATTGTAAACTTTAGGATTTGATCGAATTCTTTCTCCCTTGTCTGTCCATCTTTACTTCTGTTCAAATTGAAAATCAGGGAACATATATAGATAGTGATGTAGCCACAGAATATTCATTAGAATTTCAAAATTGCATGATTGGAATGAATAATCAATTTATTTACTTTGTAAATTATAAAATATTTCTGAATGAGTTTATTGCAGACCTAGTTGTCATGTATGAACCATTCTACTTTCATTTTAGTCTGTTCTGGATGTCTATCTATGGTGGCAAAATAAATATGCATCATCTTTTTCTAGAATATATAAAGTATTATTTTTTTAGTTTTATATTAGCATTTCTTTAGGTGTACCATATTCATAACCAGAAATGCCTAGTTTCGAAAAAATTATGATTTCAATGAAATCAAGAGCAACTAAAAATGGGTGTTAAATTGTACTAGAACGCGTTGCACATGTATCTATGTCAAATTTTTTTTTCGCTCTCATCTCATTTTATATCCTTGTAGGACAGTTGTTATCCCTACGTTCATTGAAGAAGCTTTATGTGAAAACTAAGTTGACCATACTGCGATTTAACAATTTAAGAGTTCTCATAAAGAAAATTTTAGCTACGGTTAAAACACCTGCTAATGAATGATTTTGCCTTCATACTTGATCCGCTCCCCAAGGTACACCTTTATTTAAACTAGAATTACACCACCGTTATGGGAGGGACATTTTTTTTTTTGTCAAAATTTTCATTGCTTGCAATATATTTATAGCTATTGTAGATAAAAATAATAAAATATTTAAAAAAAATTAAAAATTAAAAAAAGTATATAGTATTTCATTTATTGTGATAACATTTTTTTTAATATTTCATATTATGTTATAAGCGTTGTATTTTTTATTAATCATTTAATCAAATGTATGATTTTTTTAAATTTATTTTAAATTATAAATTTTTTTATAAAAATATTTAAAACAAAAAAAAGTAAATTAAATTCTGTATTTCTACCTTTTTATATTATTGTTATTATTATTAATATATTTTTTGATTTTATTTTATTATAAATAATAAATCATAAAAATTCAAAATCAATAAAAAAACACAACTAATTACAAATTCACATCATAAATGATAAAAACTCAAAACTCATAAAAAACATATCCAATTACAAACCCACATCATACAAACACCCACATTCCTTTTCTTAAATCCAATTAAGACTCAACTCATCATATCTCAATATAAATATAATTATACAAAATTACAAATTTATTTGACTAACCCATTTTTTTTTTTATGTTAGCAAATGAGTAAAATATGTTTCTAATCTAAAATTTTAAATATGTATGTAAATAAAGAATAAACCAATAAATAAGAAAATCAATAAATGAAAAATAAATAAAACAACAAAATAAAACTAAAATATGAAAAGAAAAAATCTCAAAGAAAAAATTATCATGTTGCAATCAATGGACAGCTCAATTTAAGAGTTGGCCATAAATTAAGAATATGGGTTAGACATAAATGGGGACAATTTTAATTATATGCGATAGATATGGTATGTTCTCTAAGTTGTTTTGGTCTAAAACTAAATTCTAGTCCTGTCATCCCAAATGTCTTACTCTTTCTCGGTATATAAGATAAACATGGTTAGTAATAGTATATGCCTTATGATTAAGTGTATTAGTTTGGAGCAACATGTCATGTTAAGCATTATTTTTATTTATAAGTTTATATAAAATTACTATTACTTTTTAATTAAAGTCTATCGAAAAAGACATGCTTTGCAAAAGAAATTACAAAGAAGGCTTAATTATGAGATTTTTATTGCATGAATCTATTATTCCTAAAATTGTTCCAATAATTGATACACTATCAAAAATTGGATATTGATAAAAGTTATTGAGAATGATACATGTTTATACTCTTAATTGTGAAGTAAGCAAAATATCTCATAAGTTGAAATATGAATACACTTGAACTAAACATATATGTGCTTGTTACAAGAAAAAGTGTATGCTGAACATGACTTAATAAGAGAATGTTATATATGATAAAATTCTTATATGATTGTTGCATAAATGGTCCTTTAATTTGAGTTCACTATCTACCTTGTATGACAAGGGTTATAATTTGATACCATTCCTATAGTTTCTAATCTAGGATGCTCAATATGATAGATATTGAGTATTGTGTGAATTATACGGAGATAGAAGAGTGATTGAGATAAAATTCATCACCTTGAGTGATCGGACAAAAATCTCATTATTTTGAAAATAATTAACTCATGAAATCTTTGGGTAGAGTGAAATGAATTTTTGAAAATGTTTCAAAATTCATTTGAAGAGTTAATAGTTTCGGTATGGTTGATGCATATAGAGTATTCATTAATCCATACTTTATCTACATAGATATAATGATGAAAGGAGCTAATTATGTTGAGAAACTAAACACTTATAGGTTAGACAAACCTTATTGAGTTTTTTTAATATTTGGATAGTCATGACACATTGCTAATTATCAATTTTAATCTAAAAATATGTATTGACTAATTAGAGAATTAATAATGAATGTAAAGGAATTTGATTAATCTAATCTTACATAAATAAAGTTTATAAAATTCACAGTTATTACCAACATATTAAGGGATCACATACAAAAGGAATAATCGAGTAAAAAATTCAAAAAGGAAAACTCAAGTTGTACATGATTGAAATAAAAGTTTGAAACTTTAAAAACTTAATTGAATAAGTTCAATAGTCCAAGGAATCAATTTCAAATGTCACAAAAAATAAAACATAATTGGAATAGGATATAGATTAGGGGTTGGCCAAATACTCTCCTTGTTAAAAGAGCCTTCGTTCTATGTAAGCGGAACAAGTTTCATTCCCATCGCTCTCATTTAAGTGTAGATTTGATTAAACGAGGTGCTTAGAGGCATAATTAGTGTTTAGAGGGCTAGGTCAAATAAAGGGGATGACTACTCTCTAGAGTCTTGGAGAGAAATTTTCTCAATTAAATGGAATCAAGACAAAATATCAAAATCTCAACATTTCCAAAACTAAATTTCTATATTAATTTTACTTATTTTTAAATTAAAATTTATTTATTAAAATCCAAATTTAGGGTAAAAATTTGATGCTTGTACCTTCCCTCTTAATGATATAATTACTATCTCATTTGTTAAAAAAATAAAAAAAAAACATTAGAAGTAAAATCTCTAGCTAGCACTAAGATACCACAATGTCTCTCTTTCTTACTCAATTGTTTGTTTAGATATCATTATTGGAGGCTGGATGTTTGGATAGCTCAAGATTTACTACATCTGAAGAAGTTTTCGGATAATTCAACCAACTCAGAATCTACAAAAAGCCCTATGTAAAATTCTGATTTCCTTTATGTGCAAGCAACTCGTGTAAAGCAATATAGCTTTGTGATCATATTGATTGGGAGTTACAATTTAAATTTTCAATGGCTATACTCTAACCTTGCATGATCTATCAACCCATTGAGCCAAAGGGTTTGTCTCAAAGCATATCATTAAAAAGAAAGTTTATATTAGAAAATGACAGTGAAAATAAAGTAAAACTTGAAATAATTTAAGAAATACAAACTAAAATATTCTTATGAAATAAGAGCCTATGACTAAGGCATTGGATGTGCAACCGAAAGCTCATAATATACAAGAATTCTAAAAGGTAGAGTAAGTTACATCAAGCCTCAGAGAAATAAAGATTTCTTATGTATAAAGATGTATTGTTCATAGATGATGAGTTTACTACATATAAAGAAATATTGTTGGACACTGATTCTTATAAATGATTTTATGCCCTGAAATTCAGAATTGGCTCAATCCAAATAAACCAAATATATACTTTGATGGACCCACCCAAATGGATAAAATTAAAACTCAGAGGTTGCGAGTGGATCTTCAAGAGAAAGACTACTATGGATGGGAATGCACACGTGTACAAAGTAACGCTTGTAACCAAAGGTTACAAACAAAGGGCAAAATGTTGATTTTGAAAAAACCTTTTCTTCTCTAGCTATGCTAAAGTTTACTGTGATTTTGCTTACTATTTTTGTACAATCATGACTCTGGAATTTGGAAAAGAATGTCAATACTGCATTGCTTAATAAGAATTTTTAAAGGGAAGTGTTCATGACATAAGTGACAAAAATGTGTCTGGGAATTTTTGCAGTTTACTTGATTTGAAGGCAGATAACCGCAAAAGAATGCAAATAGAGAATTTGTCAAGAATTTTTAAAAGTATCTGTGTTGCTGCAGATATGGGTTTACTTGGACCTGTTGAGCTTGAGGTGAACCGGATTTTGATTTCTACCCAAATGGGTCAACCTCAGAGGAACTTGGGAGCATATCTTTGTTGCCGAAGGGCACTTCTTGTTGATATGATTCAACTGTATAGATTGGGTTGCCTGGTTTTGCCAATGTGGAACCCCACTATGAGGAGTGGATGTCTGAATCAATGCTTTGGTCGTTAAAGTCAAGGAAAAGTAAGGAGGAAGGGGCTTTTTCCTTCTCTCTCTGGTTATCTGTAGGGGGTTAAGGCAGGCTTAATCCCATCATCTTCGGTAGCTTGTCTTTTAGACATTCCAAATATGGTGACATTCTTGCTCTCAGGCTGGGCCCCTTTTTTTTTTTCCAAACTTTTAATGTAAAGATTGAAAACTGAAGTTTTGCGGGGCTGCTACAAAGTTTTGAGCAAAGTGGAAGCAAAGAGACCGGTCGGCTTCAGGAGGCTACAAGATGGCTGATAGGAATATTGCAACGAACTTGACCTGATTTTGCAGGCTCTACATTTCTGTGAGCATTGTTGACTAACCCAGCAGGTTTCTGGTATTAGCGGCATACATGGTATTTGTCATGGGTGCATGTATCCCAATGAATCCTTTGTTATTTAGGACAATATTATTCTACTTGAAGATGTATATGTCAAAATTTCAAATTAATACATATACTGAATAAACATACGTATGCATATAAAAATTATGGTTGGCAGCATTGGCTGGCTAGTGCCACGCTCGACTCCTAATGAATAATGAATAACAAAAGTATTTGGCGAAGCATTCAAATGCACTATGGTTATTTTAATAGTAGCACTAGCAGTAAAAATTGCCTCATGCTTTTGTTTCTTATTATTCTATCACACTCCATGATACACCATTGATTGGCATTTCCAA